TTCCTCGGCCCGCGCAGGCCGCCTCCGCGGCCGGCGTCTCGGCACCGGGGCTTTGCGGGGGCGCAGCGCCGGGCCTGTGTGCTGCGAGCCGAGGGGGCCGGACAAGGCCGCAGAAAACTCTTCCGCTCCCCTGGGGGTACGCCTGCTGTGGCCAGGCCCCGTCTGCACCGGGAGCTAGCTGGTGGGGATCAGCACGGCATCGCCGGGGGCGGTGCGGACTGGCCCTGGACAGCAGAGCCGTCAGAAGAGTTTAACCGCTCCTGCGTTGTCTGCTACAAGCAGCCTCTCGATACAGAGTCGTGGGATGTTAGGGCTGGAAGGGCCTCAAGGCAGCATCTAAATCACCCCAGACTAGTGATTGCTGAACCTGGGCTAAAATGCTTCCCATGAAGGACAATCCAAGGCCTCTGTCCCAGTGCTAAATGACCACCTAGGACCCAACCTACATTCCCCTTGTTGCAGTCGAAGTCCAGTCTTTCGAGCCTGCCACAATTCCTGCCCCTCTCCGAGTGGGTAAGAGCGCAGGCTCGGTCCTGCCTGTCCGGACACCTATTACAGTAACCGGGTTTTTCCCATTTGCTCCGAGTCTTCCAGCTCCACCTGTTTCTTGTGAGGTCTTGAAGTAGGTGCCTGAGGGTGGGAGCGAGTGCAGAGGCTGGAGGTGTGACCCTGGGGTGAGCGTGTTGGAAGCTCCACTGTTGCACGCACCTCACACCAAGGTGGCCTTTGCCCCTCTTCTCTTCCATGCCAGATAAAGCCACGGACCCAAGCATCCCTGAGGAGAACTGGGAATGCATCCAGCGGTTCTGCGACCAGGTGAATGCCGACCCGGAAGGGTGAGTGAGGCAGCAGAGCTCTGCATTCGCTTTGAGCTCTGTGCTGCATCTGGCACCGAGATTATCTCATTGCAGAGGGGAAAAGTAATCTGCAAATCATCCTGTTGTAGCGGGAGGGCCCAGAGCAGTGACTCAGGCGCTGTGATGGGAGGGGGCAGCCTTGCTCTGATAACAGGTCAGGACCAGCTGCAGGGGCACGTCCGCCACACCCCCGGCTTGGTGAGACCCTGCCTTCTGGTCCTTCGCACCCCCTTGCAAGCGGGTGCAGGTTTCTTTGGGGCTGTTCTGCACAGACACGAGTGCCCCTCGTTCCTGGTGTGGCCTGAGGGGCTGCGGTCCCCACTGGAGGAGCTGATCAAGCAGGATCCTGGGCTTCTCCTGGGCAGAGGCATGCGTTCGGGGCAGCAGGTCCCGCTCCTTAATGACCAGTCATCCTGCTGGACGTGTGCAGTGTGCGGCCCCAGCACTGGGCCTGCCTTTTGGCAGCTCAGGAGACAGCATGCCGTGGTCCTCCCAGGGTGATGGCCCTGTGCTGCCTGCGCTCTCCAGCAGGCACGACCATGAGGAACTGTAATCATTCCCACCTGGGAAGCTGCTGCCTGCCTGCTTCCCTCCCTCACCTCTTGAGTGGGTAGACCCCAACCCAGCACTGAGCCAGAGGGAGGGTCGCACTGGGAAGCCTGGTAGCTGCCCTTCTCTCCGCAGTAGAAGCAGCAGCGTTTGCTTTTGGGAGAGGCCACGCACACCCTGACTTGTTTCTGTTACTCCCCAGCTCGTCCCTTGCACCACGACTGCTTGCCCATAAGATACAGTCGCCGCAGGAGATGGAAGCTCTTCATGCCTTAACAGTAAGTGCTTTATCCCCATGCTCACATGGGCAGAGGGGAGCTGGAAATGCCCTTTTCAGGGCACACTTTGTGTCTAGCACTTTAAAAAAAAAAAAAGGAAAATAAAAGAACTGTCCCCATTCACTCATTCCTGGCGTGTGTGATTGTAACGGAGAAGCTTTGGGGAGTGTTTCTGTGGGAGTAACCACTGTGCCAGCCTCCCACGCAGCTCTCCCTCAGACGGCTCAGTCCCAAGCTGAGAGCTCTGCATTTCCAGCCCACCGCTCTGCCAGGCCCTGTCTCCCTATCTGAAACCCCCTCCCATGAGTCCTGTGCTTCTGTAAACTCCAGCTCCATGTTCCCGCTTCAGGGTCAGGCTCTCTCATGCGTTCACAGCATCGTGCGGTCTCCAGGATCCCGTCTTCCCCTTCATGTCAGACAGGAGTCCCCATAGGATGGCCTGATCGGTCCCCGCTGCGCACCGGCTCTGCTGGTCCTGGCCTGCTGCACCCGGGGCTCCTCTGACCCTAGGCCAGCTCTGCCCACATAGTCCCCCCAGTAGAATTTGGACCTGTGAGGCCGTCGGCTTCAAGGCTGCTCCGTGGCCTTCCTGAGTACAAGAAGGGGTCTGCCGACCCCCGGTAGCTGGCAGAAGGCCTGTGTAGACACACCTGTACTGTCTGCTGCTGCCGTCTCCAGGAATGCTCTGCTGACGAGTGCTGTAGTACAAGCATGTGGATGTGAATATACTGTGGTGGCTTCTCCGTCTGTTGGGATGCCTGGCACCTAGTGTAGACAAAGCCATGGGCACCCCTGGAGTGGAGCTTGCTGGCTTCACCACAGCCTGCTGTGCCCGTGACTGTTTCCTGGAGGGGAGGAGCCAGTTCATATCACCTTGCTTTGCTGCTCTGTCACTGCGGGGACGGGTCTGGGGTTTGTAAGCGACAGTCATGGTCTGCCGTGTTCTGGCACCCCCCCGGCTGAGTTTTCCTCTCTCTAGTGCTGTCTGTTCGCTCATGGTCACTGCTTTTAAAAGGGTGAAAATGAATGAATGACTGCGGTAAAAATTACACACGTAGCCCATCAGTAACAACTTGAGTAACTTTTACATGTGTCTGGGTTGCCGATAGGTTCCTAGAAATGTGTCCTGCTGGCCCAGCCTGGAGGAACGTCTGGTCAGCTTTGCACGGGCGCGGGGCTTTGCTGCTGGTGGTGTGGCTTAATTAATTTCTCTGCAGGTGCTGGAGACGTGTGTGAACAACTGCGGGGAAAGGTTTCACAGCGAAGTGGCTAAATTCCGATTCCTGAATGAGCTGATCAAAGTGCTGTCCCCAAAGGTAGGTGAACCACAGCCTCAACCCAGCTAGCCGAGCGTCCTCTAGAATTCACATAGGAAGGCGACGTTCGTGCTGATTGCACGTGGGCACCGAGTAGGACAGTTCTGCAGTGCCTCCCTGGGACAGCACGTGCCGGGAGTGGGATCACTGCGATGTCACTTTGGAGATCGAAGGGGAGTCAGAGCTGAGGAAGCAGTGCAACCCCTCTGAGCTGCTGAGTGAGCCTATGTGAGGTGTCCAGTGTGGGGAAAGCATCCGGCTCTCGGGCCAGAGCCCCTTGCAGGAAGTGTCACTAAACACCAGGTATTCACAGCATGCGGTAGCACTGCCTGGACTAGTAGCATCTGGAGCTGATGTAATCAGAAGCAGTCCCCTGTTCATACCTAGGAGGACTTACTCTCAGCAGGCCTGTGCAAACACAGCTCTCATGCTTCAGGGTCTGGAGCTCGCTCATGCAAATCCCAGTGGGGGGTGCTGCCTTCGCTCTGCAGATGTACCCATGGTGGGTTGTATTCTGCCTCTTCCTGCTTGCCTGGTGTCTCTGGATCTTTCTTCTTCCCTACTCACAGCTCCGCTGGGACATGTTGGGGCCCCTAGAATGCTGGAGACTCTTCTTGTTTCTATCCAGCTTGTACTTCATAATGCTGGGATCTTGGCTGCCAGCTTTCTGGGAACACCCCCGAAGCCCAGACAAGAGCCTCTGAATTCACACCAGTACCTGGGGAAGGACAAGGAGCTGGAGGGGGCTGTAAAAGATTCATTATCATGAAAGAGCCTCTAGGAGAGTAGGAAGAGTGGGAGTGAGCCCTGAAGGATACGCTACCCCCCCCCCCCTTTTGCTTCTCTTTTTGCTCCGTGCTCAGTCTCTTCCACTCCTAGATCT